CTAGCATATTAAAATAAGTTTCTTGGCAAAAGAGATGTATTATGATCCAGTGATAGAAGGTTCTTTTATTAGATCTGGTTTTCTTTTTAAGGCATCTGCTAGTGCTTGTTGACCCACCATCATTAGCTTTAAGCTGCGCCATCAAAATATGCCTTGTTCAGTCTTGGAAAGAACTTGAAAAGCTTCATATAATTCTGCAAACTCTTCTTTGAAACCATTGCTGAACAACTATAGGCACCACCTACCTCCAAAATCTTTATTGCCTTTTCATATTCAGTAGAAACATTACTTTTATTTTTTTTTTTAATGATTGTGACCACATTTATTAACTCTACACATGATCCCACCCCTCACCCTTAATTAAAATAGTTAATTAATAATCATACAAAGATAGTATGTTAACGCAAAACTTTTCCCATCTAGCAGAATGTATGGCATTTTGAGAATTGGATATCCCAATTGAATGTTCTGGCTTCCAAATTTTATCAAAGAAAAAAGTTCTAACAATTCCAGAGCTGCTTTTCTCCCTTTGGATTTTGAGTTATTGATACATGTTAAACTATGTATTATACTTTTCAAAATTAAATCTTTTAAACTTTTTTAAAGAGTGTGCAAGATGTAGGATTGTTAAAATAAGGATCTATTTCAATATTCAATCATTCTTGTCATTCTTGTCATTGTTATTATCACTATTATTATCATTATAATAATAATTATTATTATTCAATTCAATTTTTTTTATTAATTGCTCTTTTAATTTGTCATATAACTGCATTAGGAACACTTAATAATAGTAATAATTAATTAATAATAAAAAAACTAATAATAATAACAAGGATCTAAAATCTCTTTTGATAAATATCGATCCTATTTCATGGTAGAATACCCAAAAATCCGAGTATACAATTTTATAGCTCGTGACTACCTATCTGTTCAAGCGTTGTTTCTGAACAAGCTTTTTCCATTGCAGGCTAAACAATTTCATCTCGAAGAAATAGATTGGGATCACAGACAGCCAGAGCGATTTT